TAACTAATATTTTCCTAAGTTGGGCCCATGTTAATGTTACTAATATGTTGATGTTACTATCACTGTATTTTTGGCCATTATGCTTTCCAGACTTCTCCAGGTATCTGTTGATCCAGATAACCTTCATGAAATTTTAAACTGATCCCTTTATTTAATCTAAATAATGATAACTACTTATTGTGGAAATTCAGATACAAACATTCCAAAGTGTTTTATTCCTAAAGAAAATAAAGGTAAATAATCCATTATTATATGCTGATTTGTTCCAAGTACTATCCTCATTTTGATTATCATCATCATAATGCTTTTTTCACTGTAACCTCCAACCTTCATCAATTGTCTGACAGGTTATCAACTATGGAAGTTTACCAATGACAAACACCTGAAGAATGTTTAAGTGTACAATGGCTGAAATGTTGTGACAAATCTTCTAACAGCCAAGATGAAGAGACATGTCCAAGCAAATTAATGTATAATAATCATAATTCCACATCTTGAAAATGCAGACAAAAATAATCCCACTTGTTTGTTACATAATAATACTGTTGGAATATTTTTCCTACTCCAAATAATTTTCTTTGTGCTTAAAAACACATTGGATATAGAAGATTATTGACTGTCTCATGAATTCATTAATATAAAAAAAGTTATGAAAAAATTGTTTATGCAGAAAGATTGAAAGGGTTAAATCAGCATTTTTTGCAAATGTCCACTTGCAACACTTACTACCATATCAAAATTCTACCTTTATGTAATAAAGGTGATGGGAGGAAACTGACTAGAAAAATACTTCCCAAAAATTTTCAATTAAAATAACCTTTCCAAAATAAAATTCATTCATTTATTAAAAAAAATAAATACTCAAAATTCCATTCAAATTTGATAATTACCTGATTTTGATAAATTTTTATATTCTGGTGTGGCTGGAAAAATCTTTTATTTTGAAAGTGCACATGTCAGTTGGAGGTGCTTATAAATTAATGTAATATCATTTATGGATTGATCAGCTTCAATTTGCTTGTTTGAGAGATGATAGTTGCTATTACTGTCTACTTAAAATCTTATATTAATATTTTCAGCTTTTGTAAAAGAAGGTTAATTATAATTATAAACTGATGTTACAAGGTTTTTGGTTTTTTTTTACCCAGGACCCATAAGCTGCCCACCTTTCACCACTGGATAGTGCACAGTGTGTGTGTGTGTATACTTGTAATTCTCATCTCAGAGGATCAAATTTGGCAACATAGTCTATTCTTTGTTTATTCATACTTCTCTGATAATGATATAAAGGTTTACTCAATACCTCACTGAAACCTCTAAACACCCACTTGCAATATAATTTTACTCACTACTCCCTCTAAGTCCTTAAAGTATGGACCCTGTTAGGTTAAAGGCATAAAGAAGATAATTAGGATAAACAAATGCAATCAAGAATTACAAAAAAATTAGCTTGATAAGAGGAATCACTTTTAATTTTATTAGATTTTCTTTTTAGAAGTTAAACCTTTTAACTATTTATAATAACATTTACTGTTGATTTTTGAATGAACAGTTTGTTCTTAACATAACAAATAAGGAATATGAGAACAAACAATTTGAAAAAAATTGACAATAGAAAAGTTTATATAATTTTTTAAAATCTCAGTTGCTGGTAACATTTTGCACCTTTGTTATGCTTGTAGCACAATGGTTCAAGTACAGGATTAATTGCCTACCCATATTTGAGTCTTACTTAACCATTTTTAGGTAGAACAGCCAGAAGTGTCATTATTTGCTACTGAATCTAATTTAGAGTTGTCTTTCTCCAAGACTGGATGCTAACCAAAGCTAATATAACATGCTAATAACTACTAACTGGACAGAGAAGAGATGGATTCATACTTTTTGAAGGTTATTTGTATAAAACTGTAGACAACAGCCATGGCTGGAATTTTGAAATTGACATACTAATTCCATTTTCTGAACCAGTAACAGCTACACTACATGAACACCCAGCGTCATAGGCACAGTGTGTCTTTTCATTTGGCCATGCTGTATAACATTATATTAGATCATTTTCCATTTATGACCCACTGAAGATGTGCCCTCAAATAAATTTGACAACTTACTAAGACAAAAAATACCCCAGCAATACCTCCCAATGCTACCAAACTTTGTTGGTTTTCCATCACAGTGGGAGAATGTCAAATCCATGCAGATGCAGCCTTTACCCAATCTTTGAATTTTTAATATATTTTCTTTCTATTTGTGGATCTATTTTTCTTATTTTCAGTTGGACTAATGTACTCACCTTTGTTTTTATTATCACAAAGTTTCAGCTATTGTGCCTTCCATCCTTTTTCAGGAGTCCAACTGAAAATAACAAAAATTATGATAACTCCTTATCCCAGAAATTTAGACAAAATGATTCAGGTTTAGTCAAATATATATACCATGCCAGAATTGGCAATAAGCCCTCAGGAACTGACTTCAATCCAAAATATATTGGTTACCCAGCCATTTCTTATATATTGTACTTACAGATTCTCATACTTTTCCAGCTTGCATTCATATGCCCAGCTGATATTTTCCTCCAAAGGAACCCATTAATTCAATGATAAACTTTCTTTAATTGTCCAGATCACAAGAATTATATATATATATAAGGATGGGCTGAAAAGTTCATAGGCTAACTATGAAAGAGTGATGCTAAAGCTATGAAACCTTGCATGCATCAATTACAACTCTTCTTATTAATAACTGCATTGTTTCTTTCAAAGTAAACTGACATCTGACTGTTTAAAAAAATCTGTTCATCCTGTTGGTCAAAAAAGTTATCAACAGCAGATATGACATCATCATCATCACTGCGATATTGGTTCCCAGCCAAGTGTTTTTTCATGTTGGTGAACATATGATAGTTAAATCAGGAGAATAGGTAGGGTGATCAACCAATTCAAAGCCACAGTCATGCACAAGCCATTGAAACCAAGGACTTGTGCACTGGAGCATTGTCCTGATGAAAAACCATTTTCATAAGTTTTCCTGTTTTTTTTTTTTTCGGATTTTTTTAACTGCCTCAGCAAGTTGGTATAGTACTCTCAATTGATGGTGTGGCTCTTTTGAAGTCAATAAACACAATGCTTTTGCAGCCAAAATAATGTAGGCCATCACCTTCCCTGCAGATGAAATGACCATGGCTTTTTTGGAGCAGGTGAGGAGAGGTGTTTCCACTGCATGGATTGTCACTTTGTCTGGCTCAAAGTGATGAATCCAACTCTCATTCAAGGGAACCAACAAAATCTGTCCCAAACAATGTTGTATTTTCCTGTGATGTACTCAGACTGGTGCATTTTTTGATCAGGTCTCATAAGATGTGGCATCCACCAAGCAGAAACCTTCATCATGTCAAGTTCATTGTGCAGAATATGTTTGATTTATAGTCAATTGCTTGTCATCCATCACTATATGGTGAACACAATCAATGTCTTCTTTAGTAGCAGCAGTTGCAACATCACCCCTAATGTAGCACCCATGTCAGCATGAATGTCTAAACACTTTTTCAGGAAGCACTTGATAACATCACAATATCAATTTCTGTTCATTTTCGAGAGAAGTCACTAGTAGTTACATTTGAAAGCTTTTTTGAATAGTCAGATATCAGTTTGATGGGAAAGAAACAATGCAGTTATTAATAATAAGAGTTGAAATTAAGACAAGCAAGATTTCACAGCTCTAGCATTACTCCTTCATAGTCAGTATAAGAAGTTTTCAGTTCAGCCTTGTTTATACCACTTGTGTGTATATATATATATATATATATATATATATATACACACACACACACACACATACATATATATATATATATATATATATATATATATATATATATATATATATATATATATATATAGAGAGAAAGAGAGAGAGAGAGAGATTAATGTTATTCCAATGAGAGAAAAGTACATATTTTAAAGAGAAAAATAAGGAGAGAAAAAAGCTGCAAAGTTTTTGGATTATAATGTGGATTTTCTATATACTTTATTCTATATATTTTGCTACATGCGTTCGGTGTCCTGTGACCTTCATCAGGCAAAGAATGGTTACTTCCACATATTATTTAAAGGAATGAATTTTTACTTCCTATGTTGAATCTTTTAACTATTGTCTTTTATGTGTAGTAGTAGTGGTGATCTGAATCTAATGATTTCAGATAATTGAATATATATATATATATATATATATACGTATATATATATATATATATATATATACACACACACACACATATATATATATATATATATATATATATATACATATATATATATTTAAAACTAGGTAAATAAATACAATGAGCACGTTAAAATTTTCTTTACCTGAGATATGCATTATATAAAAAAGAATTTATTTTCAGCCTTGCTATGTAAGTTTCTGTTGTATATTTTTATTTTTGTTTTCATTGCATGATTCAAACTTGAATCCCCTCTCTTTATCTTTTTGTGCCTATTTTCTGTCAAAGTGTATATTTTTTCATTTCATAATTTTAATTTAAGGACATTAATATTCAAATAAAAAATTACAATTTTAAAAAGTTGTCTGTATAATAAGATAACCTAAAATTCTACAGAATATAATTAAATGCAACAATTTGCGTCCTATTTCTTTTTTTCTGAAGAATGATATTAATATATATATTCCAGTAATGATTATTAATAAGTGTAATATCTTATTTAATATTATAGGAATAAATATAGAAAAATAACTTTAAATATTAAAACCTCAACAAATAAAGAATTTGGAAAGTGGATTCAAGAATGATATTTTCATGTATTTTGTTTTTAATTTTCTTCTTCTTTAAATGCCATGTTCTTTCAGGACATAGGCAATCATGGCTCCCCACAGCTTCCTTGCATTTTAATATTATACAGAATCTTTATATAAAATGAACACTTTTATATTTATAAATATAAATGTACATATATATATATTTGTTACTTTTTTCTTCACTTTTGTAGGAAAACCTGATGACAGCCTTAGTGTTCCAACTTCCCCTCAAATGCGTGGGAGAAGTCGCGGTCGTCACAGACCACCATTGCAGCAACAAGGGCAGGTGATAGGGTCTCCACTTCCTAGTCCTACAACCCGCAGGAAGGAGCCGATGTTTTACAGGTCTACATCATTAGAAAATCGTTCTAGAAGTCCATCTCCAAATCTCACCCCAACTCCAACATTGCATCAACATGAGTACTATGGCTCTGCCAATCTGACAGATCGGTCCAGAAGTCCAAGTCCAACAATGACACCACCTAGAAAAGCTACGCGAAAACTACCAGCAGTACCAAGCAAGCCTTCAACTTTAAATCTTGCTCAAACCAGACCACGGGAAAATATGCCCCGTGTTATGCCATCACCAACTGTCCCTCAGCCATCAAAGAGTCCTGGTAGCATTAATTTCCCAAGACTGAATGCATCCCCAACTCATATACCAAGAACAGGACCCACTGTAGGACAAGCTCCTCCTTTGGGACGACTTGGTCGACCAGAGCCATATAGTCCAACAGAAAGAAATAGTATTAGTAAATTAAGCCCTGAAAGGAGTCGAACATTACCTGTTGGACAGAGGACTAGTAACAGAGACTTCTCAAGGGGAGTTGACCTTTACGTGTCACACAGAAGTAGAACGTTTGATCCACGGATTAATGACAGAGGGCGATATTTTGATGATCCATCATTAGATGTTCATATGTCTGACCGTCGTACTGAAACTTTACCTAATGGATTCAAGCCAAAGAAGCGTAAGCCTGAAAATTTGGATATCCGTGGTGACAGTACAGGAGGCCCCGTGCGACATGAATCTGATGAAGATGATGACTGGTGTTGAACAACCAGACAATAGGAATTTATTGTATTTTTGTATTCTGCTGTATAATCAAATCATGGTTGTCCAGAGCCACAAAGAAGATTTCACTACTGATTGTTATCAACTGATTTTTTACATGGTGTTTGCCCCTTGCCACATTATTGGAAGGCTAAACTTAATTGTCAAGTGTGTCACTGAATAGAAATCGGATCCCCTTGAAAGCAAATTTCAAAGTTGGATTTTACCTGATCATAACTGGAAACTAACCTGTTGGCCACAATGTTAAAATTACCGACCAATCTGGAAACACAAGACTCTACAGAATGGGTCTTGAGAAAAACAGAAAAGCTTTAATCCATAGTTGTATTAAAGAACTGAGTGTCTCCAAAGGAGACAGGTGATAAGTAACTTGTTATGGTTAACGATATCAGGGTACATTGATTGTGTCCTTGTAGAGGAAATGAATTTTTTCACTATTAACAAGAATGGTTAATATTTAAGGTGTCATTGCTATGTTCAGGTCTAAAATATCACTTGTATTAAAAATAACAAAAAATAAATTAAACAAAACAAAAAAACAAACAAACAAAAAAAAGCAAAAGAAATTCTTTTTCATCAACCATTCTTGACTAAACATTTTTTCCCTGCTAAAACTTTTGTGCTTAATTGTCTGTTAAGACCATTATGTTTTGCTATTTTGTTTCAATAGCAACCATGTTAGTACCTGCCAACCAGTCTGCCCAGTGTATTTTTTCCTCATTATCCTCAACTGCACAGAGAATAATCTTGCATGACACTTGTGGGGAGAGAAAAATTTCTACAACTTTGTGTAGACATTTACCAAAAAAAAAAAAATGAATGAAAAGAAAGAAAAGAAAGAAAAATGAGTACGTTCCAAAAACATCTGCAATAACGATTCATGGGAATGAAATAGCGAGCAGTTATGTTAGGGTATGAAATATCTGGGGACTGTCCTAAGACAAAGATAGTTTTGCTAGGCCCCATCCCTTCCCCCTATGAAACTTAATTCTGTGTTACGAAAATTAATTTCAACAGGAAAGCTGGTAGCTCTTTCGAAAGTCAGCTAAGTAATCTGAAAAAAAAAGAATTATTATTCTTGGACATGTATTTTTTTTTTCACTCAAGAAGCTGACACAAGCACAATGTTTATTAATTATAATGATAATTATTAATGATAACATCAATTTTATCTTCCTTTTTTTTCCTCTTTTTTTTTTTCATTTTGGCATTTGTCGAAAACAAATTGGCTCATGGAAAATTGTGATAAAATGTCAATTATTGTAATTGACAAGTTATTTTTATTATATTTCATATTACTGTTACCAGGATATTTCTATTGTATGCTGGTTTCCTGATTATTTGTTGAAGAGTATTTGTACCAGTTTGAGTGTACATTTCATTCATGTTATTAACACAATGACTTTTTCAATTTTGCTTAGTATCTGCTTAAAAATGAAACCAGTTTGGCTAAGATTCATTGGAACACCTTTTTGTGGAGATACTTTTAGAATCTTTCTATTTGATACAAAAATTCAGTGTGTATCGTTATTACATTCATTTCTTTTATTTGTCAAATGTGTGGTAGAAATTTTATTTTATTGCTATTTACTATATTATTGTTTATTTCTTTTGATTTGCTGTTTGATGCAATCATTTACAAAGTCTTTCACCTGGGACCTATGGTAAATGAAGGATTTTTTAGGAAGTTATTGAGCACAATGGAGTTAACATTTGATTGGTAAAACTATACATTGAAAAAATGTGTACAGCCCATTAGTATGCTTGTATAACTTCCTTATAATCCTCTCATGTCCATTTGACTTTTTTTTTTATTATTTTTTTTTCCTTTGATTATTAGTAAGTATCAGTTGAGGTAGACCTTCATTTGGAATCATCTGCTGATGGTGTCCATTCTCATTATTTGGAAGAACAGTACTAGTAACATATTTTTTGACACCAGCCTTAGTATCATTATTATTATTATGATATACATTTCTTTTTTCATAATTTCAAAAATTTAATTAATTTGTTAGTCATTATTACAATAAGACTAATGTGAGACTTATTTAATTTCACAAAGAGGTTTTCCAATTTTTTTATGTCTCAACCTTGTGATTATGTTTGTTGCCTTCTAATACCTGCATTTCTCATTGATCACGCAACTTAGCCCTCACTAATGTCAACACCATGATTAATTGGCACAAACTACATTTAATATCACTGAGCATAACTTGACAATATAGTAAATGTATTAACAATGTAAGCTATAAATGTTCATTATATAATGAATGATTTTACTTGGGTTACTTTAAATCCTTTCATAATCACCATATCAAAGTTAAAATGCAAACTACCTTTTTGTTTGTGCAATCATATAAAATTCATTTGCACATTGAAAAAATAAATTTTATATCTGTCAAAAAAGTCCATAAAACCTTGACTTGATGGTTAAACGTACCCATAAAAATGCTTTGAAAAAAGACAGGGTTAGAAAGAACAGAACATATTCAAATATTTAAGTGTAACTAAGAAGTTTAAAGAAATTTAAAATTTAAAAGCATTTTGTATCAATATATATGCTTATCTTTTCATCTTGTTTGAAAATATAATTTTATAGCTAGTTAGATAATTATATAAATTTATCTTTTTTGATATGTTCCTTGAAGAATAAGTTCAAATTTAATTTTAAAAACTTAATAAAAACTCCTGTTAATAGACATATACTAACTTCTGAATTAATTAATTTCTAATGTTTATGAAATTTTAAAACATTTCAAAAGTTACAAATAGAAATTAAAATGTTTTGTAAAATATGTTTAAAAATCAGCATTTAAATATTGCTCATGATATCTGATATGTTCTAGCTCATTTTGATGATGAGTCATTTCCATAAATGTGGATCTAGTTAGTTAAAACACACACACACACACACACACACACACACACACACACATATATATATATATATATATATATATATATATATATATATATATATATATATATAGAGAGAGAGAGACTTGAATCCTCTGAGAAGAAGAGAAATTCGGTCCAAATTTCAATCATAAATCGTGAAGACTGGTGCGTAAAACTATCTTATATATTCTTATTTTTCTAAATAATTAATAAGACAAGATAAAATCTCAGCATTTCTTTGTTTTCATTACTTAATATGATATTTTATCTTGTTTTTATAAATGTTATCTTCTTTTGTTGGTGCGGGGGGGGACATTGTCTCATCTAAGATTTTGTATTCACTGAAGGTCACAGCTCTGTCACAGGATCACAAAATCTCTGAGAATGTTAATTATCCATTCAAATATTATAAAATGAACCTATAATTGTTATAATTATTATTACTACCACTGTCATCATTGTCATCATCATATTCATTTTTCTTAATCAAGCCAGAACCATCATGTTCAGGATATGTTAATAGAACATGCTTCTGGACAAACCTCTATCAATCAAATACTACCTCTGTTTCATAATAGTTGTTATATTTAGTATATGGAATGTGTATGCAAATGTAACAACTATTATGGGGCAGAGGTTGTAATTTAGAGGCTATCTTTGCGCTGCCAACATTTAAAAATAGTTATAAATCTTTTATATACTGTAGAATCAGTTGTAGTTGGAGTAGTTTTAATAGTATTAGGAAATATTGAAATTCTATTTTTGTTTAACGAAATTTGAAATGTTTATTTGATCATTAAACAATTAATTATTAAATTAATTATGAATTAAAATAGAACTTTGAAATTTGTTTGATTAATGTTGATTTAGGTAAAAGTTATAATTGTGTGGAAATCATTTTTCCAGGTCAATTTGCTTTTACTATTTCCTGAAGCCTTCATTCTGATGAATGTCACGATGATGAAGACACGATAATAGAAGTTCTGACGCTGCTACAGTTTATTCTGCTCAATGGACAATTAACTTTATAATATCAATGATAATCAGTCATTTCAATTATATTTTGTAATGAATTTTCTTAGAGAAGCTCATCATATTTTTTCTATATTGGTTGATAAACCTTTTACTATTTTTTCATATCACTGTTTAGAACTGGTTCGGCAAAGAAAAAATAATTAGAAGAGATAAAAAACAAAAAGCAGAGTGAAAGAAACAAACCAAAATTCACTTGCCGTATGCAAAGAGCAGGTTTGTTGTTGATATTTTTAAATTTTACAAATTTTATCTTGCCCACTTTTTTTTTTTCATTTATATATATATTATTTAAATTTTCTCATTGAAAAAATGACTTCATTCTTTTCTGACAAATTTGTCCGCAAATACATTTGAACACATTCAGTAGGTAATGGTTATCCTATATGTTCTGCTTTCACATTGATGGTTGACTTGTAAGATGACTGATATAATCATTTCAATTTTGTACAATTTTACACGTGAATAAACCAACTCACATCTCATGGAATTTTAAGCAAGAGAATCTTTAACTTGTAGTGAGAGAAGTAGTTTTCTGTGATTAAAATGATATCTATTTTTGGTTTGTATGAAAGAAAAGTATGTTGAATCTTTAAAGTCATTCCTTAAATTTCACTTGTTGACTGTAACAAGTCATCAAAGTCATTATTATTGTCCAACAACTGTGATATCACAACATAGTGTATTAATGTTATTCATATTACAATAATTAATAATGATTAATATTAATTAAAATATGACTATATTAAAATATATTAATTGAGATTAATATTATTCAACAGGAAATGAAGTTAGCTCTCACTTTACTAATAAAGAACAAACAAATTAAAATAAAATATTGCTAGGAGATTAATGATCTAAGTTTATATTCTAATATCAATGGTGCAAACAGTCTAATCAATGATATCTCATCACCAATGAGCCTAACATCCAAACTTATAATGGTGCTTGGCAATGACATTTGAAATATGATGTGAAAGTGTCTTGAGAATACTTTCAGCTAGGACCAGACATTCATGTATCTAGCAGATATTATGGATAATTCATTAATC